GAGTGTCTTAGTTTAGGGCAAATTAGGAAGGAAAACTCCAAATGGGGATTTCCCCAGGGAAATGCCCCTCCCCACTAACTGGTCCGGGAAAAGAAAAAAAATTCTTTAGAGAGAAGTGGAAAAAGCTGTTTATTTAACAGAAATTGAGTAATATTAAATAATAAAACCTCTTGCTGTTCGATGGGATGGCAAGTCTAGGAAGAAAAGTCCTTTTCATGTGGTGTAGCTCGGCTCGCTCAGGTTCTTATCAGTCCCTCCGGCGCTGGAAAGTGCCGAGGCCCAGGCCCCGGTGGGCCACAGGCGTGAGCTCCCGGGGTTTAGCTGGGTGTTCAGTCCAGAGCAGGCTTGCACAGATCCAAGAAAATTGGGAAAAAAACAAACAAAGGTCCAGGGAATTCCTCTGCCTCAGCTAGCTAAAACTAACTAAAAGCCAGAGAGAAGCTCTGTCCCGCTGTCTGTCCGTGCTGCAGACACCACAGTCCAGGAGCGGGCTGTGTGGGAGTGATGTTTTTCCTTAACACAAACTGCGCGCTTCTTCTTCCCCCTCTCTTGCTCTCAAAGCCAGTCTTAAAGGTGCAGAACTTAATATATAACATAAACCAGACGATTGGGGATACCAGTATCATAAAGTCACCCCAGGACATTCCACCCCTTATCCCCATATCGTCAACTTATTATCAAAATTAATATATATATATTTTAACCCTACAACACATACATTATATACAGACAAGGGCATTTATTCATGATTTTCACCTAACCATCAAATAATAACTTTTTAAAAACATCTGCATCACCTCATATATTCCCCAAAATAACAAAGCCATAACAAAGCCATAACAAAGCCATAACAAAGCCACTTGTAATAACTTCACCTGCTGACTGTGCTATAAGTATTCCCAGCAGGCTTTATTACTGAAATAGGTGTGGAAGAAAGAAACCTTTTTGGTGGAATATGCATTTTAGAAGAAACTGTAACTTGTGAATTTCTTTTGAGCACATAGAATTGTCTGACTCAGTGATGCAACTCTCCTTCTCGACATAAGTAACTCTGACATTTTCAAAATAATGTTTTGATTTTAAATGCAATGTTATTTCATTCCAAAATTTTCTTCAACTGTATGTAAAATATTTTAAAATAATACTCTAAAGTATTTTACTTTCAACACTTTTCCCCCAAATTTCTTATTTGCTAAACCTGTTCTTTCTTTTATGGATGACACAGAAGGCCCCAAAAAAGTAAAATCCAAGTCACTGTCATTTGCTCAACTCTTACTCTTGCAAAATTCACAGTACCATATCATAACGTCACTGGAATTGTAGATCACCACACAGAATACTGTAGAAAATAAAAATTGGTAGAATTGGCAAAAGGATAATACATTTTTAATCTCAAAAGCACAACCATGATTAAGTCTGTGGGATTAATTCTGATAATGACATTAAAAATAATTAGAACTTAAATCCTACTTAAAATAATTGTAGAGTTCGAAGAGATAATCACTGAATAAACCAGTTCTTTCCTAGAATATCTATCTCTCAGCTGAAGCAGGATGTTTTTTGAAGAGGGAAAACACTGGGTTCAGTGTATGCATTATGGAGAAAATTCACTGGCCTGGTTTATTCCACAAGAACATCCATGCCCATATTGATCCCCCGTGCCAGCAGTAACTTTGCTGTCCCTGTCACAGCACACACGACAGGATTTCCACTCTCTTGGCTCTGTTTTCTCAGAGCTGTGTCTTGGGCCCATCACTGCTGTCCTTCAGCACCAGGAACTGGAGCCACAGCCCGAAGGAGCGGAATAAGGACCAGTGATGGTGGGAGAGGGGCTGATCCCGACACCTTCCTGCTGGAGGGACAGACCAGGCACAGCAATTCCCCTCCTTATCCCTGGGTTTTCCTGCCAAAATCACACCCCCACAATGATGGGGGTGGTGGGGAATAAACAACTTAGTCAGACCCACACTGTGATAAAACTTGACTCCCTTTCTCTGTAGCAAAGAAAGTTCCACACGGAGCTCATGTGCAATACTAATAACGCCAACAGAGGTTAGGAATTTTCAGATGTCAGCTAGGCTGGAAAGGGATAGCTAAAAATGAAAACCTGCAATATTTTCTAGAAAAATACTGCCATTTATGAAGTAGACTACCAGAGATGGCACTATTTATGAGACAAGTGCTGGATTATCCACCTTACATTTATATCAGTAAACATGGTAGGACAAAGAAGAAGAAAGAGAAAGATAAGGATATGATGTTTATGACAATTTTACTCTAAAAATAGCTTTGCTTGCCATACACGAAGAATGGAAGATAATTTTGTGGAGCTACATGTGAAGCAGTGACTTTCACAGGCAGCTGGCTTTTAAAAGAGGGCTAGCACTATGAATGCTTGAATTTTTGTAATGCTTGATATATATATATCCTGACACCTATGGATAATTATAGGATCAACCACCAGAGACCCTCTAATAGTTGAGCCAGTTTTATTTGTAAGTCTGCTCCCAGCCTTTTAGATACAGCTTTTTTTTAGCATTTTGGTGGTGCAGAAAAACCTTTAAGTATTTTCTTAATCCTGAGATTCTGCTGCTGGGCTCTGTTCCTGAACTTACACCTCTCAACACTGTTCTCCAGCTGTGCTTCCCTGCAGAGCAAAGAACAGAGGTTAATTTCTTTACATCTTAGGAGGGATTGTTCTTTGCAACAGCTACAGCCAAGGTGACAACCCAAATATTAACTCAGTTAAGTACAGTTCTTTTAAAAAAGCAAACACAGAGAAATGAAAATATTTATTTGTACTTACTAATTTTGTATCATGAATAAATGCTATTCATTGCCAGCTGAGCCAGCATGAAACCCCTCCACTGATCATTATTTTACTCTATGAGAAGTAATAAAGGCTACTTTCATATGATAAGAACTGTATGGCATACTTTAAAAAATTGGAAGATAAGTACAAGCAAAAAGATCCACAGTTAGGAAAATTAATCAGCATCTGAGAACTGGTAGTTCAAGGGACTCCAGTTTATGCATGGAGGAACTGAAATATCCAGGAAAGGATATTTGGTCCTATTGTACTAAAATGTAGCATAATCTCATTTTCATAACTGGTATTTCATAAACAGAGTGTTTGTAAATAAATAGAGCTTTAATAAATCTATTAAATACATCTAAAAGAGGGTTTTTTTCCAAATTAAGTATGGTGGCAAACATTTTTTTATTTCTTTAACTTTTTCTGCAGTTTTATGTGGTGAAACCATTTTTAGACACCAGAAGACATTTAAGAGTGGTGTGAAGTAATGTCATTGAAAGGTAAGGAAGTTTTCAGTGACTGTGAATGATTATCGTCACTGAAAACCTCTGAAGATTCACAGAGAGATGGGCTAAAACAAGTCTTGAATGTTCCCTCTGGCTTACAGCTTGTTTCTGGGAAAACTACAGAAACAGCCTTGCTTCTTTTCAGCAAGTCTTCATGCCTGGCCAAGAGCACTGGTTATTCTGTTCACAAGCAAGGTGCTGTAAAAAGTGGCTGCACTGACTGCCTAAGTCAGACATGAAGAAAAGCAGCAAAGGGGAAAAAAAGGTGATAAGGAAGGCAAAATTACTTGTTAGGCAGTGGATGATTTAAATAACTTCAAACTCCTACCTATGCTGCTAATAATGTTTGAACAATCCAGTGTTCCCCTTGGCTGGTCATGCTGTTTATGACTGAGAAAATTAAGGGCCAATGTGTCCAGAGATGACATGGTCCTGCACCACTGAAGTATGCTTTCCCCAGAATTCCAGGCTTTTCCAAAATCCCTTCTGTTGCCACTCAGCATTAAGAAAGGAATGGTCACTTTCATCCAAACCAAAACTTCTGTCTTGCCATTTCAGGTGTTCTGTTGACTTTTGCTTTGGTATAGAGCTACAGTAGCCTCATAAATTCATGAGTATCACTTGTGTCATGTCTTAAACTTAAAAGACATCTTGTTTTCACTAGTCTGTCAACAAGTTTTGTTTTTCAAATATTTTCTCATTAACAAGCCATAACAGAATCCAGTGTGTATTATCTGCATCAGACAGCTAAGGATAAAGGATAGCTGTATCCTAGCAAGACCCAAGAAAGCCTGCCTTAGGCAGAGGGCAATTCCTGACGAGTAAAACACGTTAACAGATTTCATCTCCCATATATTTGGCCTTAAATCTGTCCTGCACATGCTAAAATACCAGCACAGAGCACTGGAGTTACTTCTACAAAGCATTCCAGAGGCCAGGCCCGTTGGCTCTATATCCCCTGCGGTTGCACACATTTTGTAGGCACTGAATAGTCCGTGACCACTCCAACACACCGTGGCTGCACAGAGCAGGGAGGACTCCTATGCAACATCTGTTTCCCATCAGCTGATACACCTGCACCTCTCTAGTAAAGACCAGTGCCCGCGACTTGAAACTGAAGAGTTCAGTGCCCACCAAGCCCAAAACGCTTCACGGCCAGGAGCAGTATAGCCCCGAGAGACGTTTGGTTTCCAGCCAAGCACTGCCCGGCCATGCTGGCGGTGCCAGAGACCGCGGAGTGGCCGCTCAGAGCTGCGAGGCAGCACCGGGACCCCTCCGGCGCGGGGCCCGTGTGGGGATGGACGCTGCGGGCACACGGGGCGGGAAAGCGGCCGTAGAGACCGGCTGAGGGCGGCAGCCCCCTCGGGGGTACCACCCGAGCCGCGGGCAGGGGCCGGCTCTGCCCCCGGGGCTCCGGTCCCCGCTCCATGCACCGCCGCCGGCAGAGGGGTCGCGCCCGGCGCCGGGCAGGGCAGGGCAGGGCGCCGCCGGGGCAGGTGGCGGAGGGAGCGCAGGGCCCGGCCGGGCTCCAGCTCCCCCGCTCCAGCTCCCCGCCTCCGGCCCGCGCTGCCCGCCGTGCGGGGGTGGTGGCGGAGGGGGGTCCCCGGCCGGCTCTATAAAAGCGGCTGCAATGGCTCTGCCGACACAGCCGAGCGGGCGGGGAGGCGGCAGCCGGGACCATGGCGACGGGCGGCGGGCAGCATCTGCCCGCCCTGCTGCTGCTGCTGCTGCTGCTCCGGCCGTGCGAGGCAAGTGCGGGGAATCGGCGGCCGGTCCGGCCCCGTGACCTGGCCCCCGCGGCCGCTCTGTCCCCGCAGGTGAGCGGCCGGGAGCCGGCGTGTCCCCGTCCGTGCGGCGAGCGCTGCCCGGCCGAGCCGCCGCGCTGCGCCCCGGGCGTGCCCGCCGTGCTGGACGGCTGCTCCTGCTGCCTGGTGTGCGCCCGGCAGCGCGGCGAGCGCTGCTCCGCGCTGCTGCCCTGCGACGAGAGCAGCGGCCTCTTCTGCGACCGCGGCCCCGAGGACGGCGCGGCCGCCGGCATCTGCATGGGTAGGTGGAGGCGGCGGAACGTCCCCGCATGTCGCAGCCCTCCCGGGCGGAAGAGACTCTTCCCGGGCCGGGCCCGCTGCGGGTGTCGCTGCCCCGCGGTTCTCCCGCCTGCTCTCCGGCGAAGCGGCCGGTCCGCAGCACCACCGGGGCTGTCCCGATGCTGCGGGAGGTGCCAGTGCGGCCCCGAGGGGCTGGGGGTCCGGGGAGTATCCGAGTGCCCTCTGCTTCTGCGAAATGCCTCCCCTTTTCCCACTAGTGCTGGAGGGAGACAACTGCGTGTTTGATGGGATGATTTATCGCAACGGGGAGACGTTCCAGCCCAGCTGCAAGTACCAGTGCACCTGTCGCGACGGCCAGATCGGCTGCCTGCCCCGCTGCAACCTGGACCTGCTGCTCCCCGGCCCCGACTGCCCCTTCCCCAGAAAAGTCGAGGTCCCTGGAGAGTGCTGTGAGAAGTGGGTCTGCGACCCTGACGATGAAGTGATTTTGGGAGGTTTTGCTATGGCTGGTGAGGAAACTAAAATCAGTTATCATAGTCGTTGTGAGCAGGAGGTGATCTCATCGTGAAAATATCCACAGAATTGCCAGATCTAAGGCACATTGCTTGCATGGTTGGGGTTTTTTCTGGTCTTTTTCCTGATTCAGAGTGACTAGTATGTATAGCAGTGGTTCTGAGTAAAGGCAGAGCTCAACAGGTAAAAGAAATATTCGGAGGATGAATATGCATAGCAGTTTAAAAAGTTAATTGAGCTAGTTCCCTATTTTTAAATTTCTGTTTATCTCCTACACATTAGTTCTGTCACCAGAAGAAAACAAGGACAAGATCCTAATCCTCCAAACATTCCCACACCAAAAAAAAAAAAAAAAAAAAAAAAAAGCTGCAGTCTTGCTAGTTGCTCTACAAGATTATGTTACAACATATTGTAACAGCTTAGTCTACAGGGTTTTCTCTCCTGAATTCTGCAGCTCTTACAAGTGGTCAGCAGGGCAGCTAAAATGCCAATGAATTCCAGCCTGTCTGTGCTAGAGTGCTCATGTTTATTGGTGGCATTAAAAACATTACAGAGTATTTGTAGAGGCAGTGGTTATAAACGCAGTGAATGGATTTGTAAGAAAACCCAATCCATTCCAAAGTTAAGAACTCAGGCTTTTAAAAAAGCTAGATAATACTTTCCCCTTTTCAGTTTTTCCCTATTTTCATTTTTTCCCTACTGAATTTTCTCCATCCCCTTTAAATTATACTATTAGTTCAACATGAATTTTCATAACTTTCTGTTGAGAGTGGAGGACACTGGATTCTCTTCCAGTCACTGCACTTTGTGATCTTAGGCAGTTACTTATGCCAAAACTCAGCTAATCCATTTAAAAAACAAGTGATAAAAGGGTTGAGGAAGAAAAGATTGAGCTTTTCAGTGTGCTATGAAGTGTTAGTTGTAAAGCACATTAGGTTAAACAAAAAGTTTCACACTTTTCTACAGCATATTTACCTAATATAGATATTATTATGACATAGCTTTAGAACAGACTTGTGACATATTTCCATTAGAAAGAGTGAAGAATAAAAATCTATGAGGGTTCTAAACTGGTTTAAAAGGTGGCAGTAATCCTTCCAGCTGTGGACTTGAGTGAACAGAATCTAAATGCTTTGCTGATTACACTGATATGCAACTTTCTGGTTTGGGGCTTTTTTTTTTTTTTTTAGATCTAGGAAGTTGCTACTCAGGATTCCTAAAAAGACAGCTTTTAAAAATTTCTAAATCCTGTCAAAAGCATGGATGTTGAACCTTGTTTTGTCTCACATGTTCCTTCCCAAATATGATAGAGCTCAATTAGATATTGAGGTTTCATGTGAGTTTTTCTTGTAATCAGGTTCTCTGGGGTTTTGTCTTCAGCCTACAGGCAAGAGGCCACACTCGGGATTGATGTGTCAGATTCAAGTGCCAATTGTATTGAGCAGACAACAGAATGGAGTGCTTGTTCCAAGAGCTGTGGAATGGGCTTTTCCACCCGCGTTACCAACAGGAATCAGCAGTGTGAAATGGTGAAGCAGACACGGCTTTGCATGATAAGACCTTGTGAAAATGAAGAGTCACCCGATAAGGTATGCTGCAGAGAGTGAGGCAAGGCAGCAGAATCTCTTCAGCTCTAATTCCAGGGTTGCAATATTACGGTCTACAATGGTCCAGATGCAATTGTACATAAATACATCTTTCAGCACAAGTGCAGCAAGCTGAGTGTTTTTGGTAAAGCGTTAGACTTTCTCAGTAGCTTTGTGCTGCACCTCCAGCAGGTCAGGGGAGATGATTGTGCCCCTCTGCTCCACTCTGGTGAGACCCCCCCCCAGAGCACCGTGTCCAGCTCTGCAGCCCTCAGGAAAGATGTGGGTTTATTTGAGTTAATCCAGAGGGCCACCAAGGGCTGGTGCACCTCCCCTATGAGGTAAAGCTGAGAGAGTTGGAATTGTTCAATTTGGAGGAGAGGAGGCTTTGGGGAGACCCTACAGCCCTTTCCAGTACTTGACAGGGACTTAGGAGAAAGAAGAGAACAGACTTTTAGTAGGGCCTGTTATGGTAGGACAAGGGCTAATGGTTTTTAAATTAAAAGGGGCAGATTCAGACTGGATACGAGGGAGAAATTTTATACTGTGAGGGTCGTGAGACGCTGGAACAGGTTACCCAGGGAGGTGGTCGATGCCCTATTCCCAAAAATGTTCAAGGTCAGATTGGACAGTGCTCTCAACAACCTGGTCTAGTGGAAGATGTCCCTGCTCATTGCAGGGGGTTGGACTGGATAACCTTTAAAGATCTTTTTCAACCCAAGCTGGTCTATCTTTCTATGATAATTTAAATCATCCCGAACAGATCACATGTATTGCATGTGCAGGTCAACAGTTCACATAGTCTCAACTTCTCCACAAATGCAACTGTACTACCTGTACCCTGTACATCAGAGTTGCTTCAGTGATACAGAATGGTTATATCAGATTTCTAGTCTATTGAGCATCTGGAACAGCAGAGAAATGTGTGAAATGTCTGCTTGATAAATTAAACCTTATCTTAATCCTTATGATTTTTTTTTTCCAAAAGCAAACCCAAAACTGATACTTTTGATCTAAAAAAAATAAATTTTATCTAAAGGAAAAGACTTTTTTACTTCTACACATTATGCAAGTGTTTCTATCAGGGAGAATAAATGCAGCTAGGTACAAAGCCCATCAATTTATGTAATGTTCTGAGTGTTGGAAAGCATTTGTAAGGCCTTTGCTGAACAGTATCTGCAGTTTTAAATACCGTTTTGTAAAGGAGATGAAACATGTGGGACAAGTTGAGGAGATTAACAAGAATGATCAGAGGTCTAGAAAACATATTTATCTAGGGAAAACCAGATAGAACTGAACTTCTTCTGAATGAAAGGGAAGAGAGATGTGTTCTCATAACTGTATTCAGATACTGCAGCCTGTTTTGAGTCCATGGAGGATATAATAAGAAATGGCGAGTTTAGACCACATAAAAATTAAGACATGAGTGAAAATGTTCCAGGCAGTAAAAACAGTGAACTCTTGGGGTTGTCTGGGGCAGATATGAGGTCTCTATCATGGAAGACTTCCACAGACAAGTTAGTCAATCATTTGTTTAAAATAATATGGCTAGAGCTGGTTGTGCCTTGAGTCAGAGGAATGGGTGATGACCTTTGCAGTTCATTTTACTCCCCTTTTTTCCCCTTGCATCTAGTCCTGTAACTTGCTCATTTGACTCTATGGTTCTCTGATGGAACTACACTAGCCTGAGGAGTTTTTTGGTAGAGTATAGTTTCTTAATGAATGTAGACTGGGCTTGTCTCAGATGACAAGTGGATTTTAATTATTTGTCCTTCATTACTGGTCCAATAACACACTGGTGGTTGAAGAGCAGATGTGCAGGTGTCACCTGTAGGTAACTACTGAAGCAGTTTCAGAATCTTCTTGCTGTTGGATGAGTAAAGACAACAAATAATAATTTTCAGAGTAGGCCTGTATCTTTGCATGTCAGTTGTCAAATGCTGTCTGTCTTATGCAATGATATATCTATTGTCTCTTCATATTTCTCCTAGAAGGGGAAGAAATGTATCCGGACAAAGAAGTCTGTGAGGGCTGTTCGCTACGAGTACAAGAACTGCACGAGTGTGCAGACGTACAGACCCCGTTACTGCGGCCTCTGCAGCGACGGGCGCTGCTGCACCCCACACAACACCAAAACCATCCAGGTTGAGTTCCGCTGCCCCCAGGGCAAAGTCCTAAAAAAGCCAGTGATGTTGATCAACACCTGTGTCTGTCACAACAACTGTCCTCAGAGTAATGTTGTTTTCTTCCAGCCGTTAGATCCCACATCTAGTGAAGCAAAAATATGAAAAGTATAAATTGATAGTGCAAAAAGTATAAGCAGGTTATACAAAACTTGACCCACGATCAGGTGAATGTAACAGTTGCATATATGAAACTTCTAAAATATTTTTCAGAATGGTCTTTCAAACTAAGTGGTTTTTTTCCCCCATAGCTTATTAAATACCTCATTTTACATTTGTCCCCTCCCAATGTCTTTTATTCACTTGAAGGAAATTTTGTACCTTGGACAGAGCCTTCTATTTTTCTTGATGGTGGCATAAAGATTACAAAGCCAACAGCTAGAATTACCCCTTGAGTTAAGGGGATCATGCTGCAAGTGGGTGTAAGACTGGGCTTCTCGAGAGTAAATGTGTTCCTTGAGGAATACGTAATACTGCATCACATAAGCTTCCAGGCTCTTAACTTCACTTTCCGTACTGCATATAAACACTCCAGCAGTGTTCTTTTTTCTTTTTAATGAAACTCTGTTTTTTGATGACAGTAAAAATCTTACTGATGAAAGTGTTACATTCTTGTGGCTTATACAGTACCTTCTGTTCATACCTCTGACTCTGAGGATTAAGATTGCACATAGCCTCTGAAATGACATAGGTAAGATCTCTTATCCTGAAGTATAGCAGGTTGATAGCTGACAGCAATTAAATTTCTTTTTGGTAACTTCACCAGCAGTCTAATCCAAAACCAACTGAAGTCAGTGTTGTATAAGAATTTGGTTCTAATCCATGTGTGTCTGTAGATGTAATTATTTGGATGAAAAATAATATATCTGTAAATTCCTCTGAAATACTAACTGTATCTTATGGTGCTTCATTTCTTAGGTGTACATGTAAATAGAAACTGTACATACTGTAATATACCTTTACTAAGTAAATAAACTTTATATGATTCAAAATATTTTTTACTAAAATTGTTTTTCTTAAACTACTAGCTTTTAATAGCTAAGAGCAATGGGAAGAAAAAGGGTTTGCAGACTCCTAAAAACAAAAGATGATTTCTCGTGTTATTCTTAATGTACCTCATCCTAATTGCTGCCTTAAAAGTCATGAAGTGCCTTGCTACAGGGAAGGATGAATAATTTGTGGGGCACCTATTAGAAAGGAGATTTCTTCCAGAGCAAGTTAGCCTAGAAGATAGGATAATGTAACTAAGGCTAGTGTGCCCTGAAATATAGTAGTGGTGGTGAAGAATGATTACACAATTCACATTTGGGTTCACATTTGGGTCTGAACAACTAATAAAGTATTTCATTGGGTAATGCAACACTTTAGCCTCACAAAATCAGCCTGTGACCATGTTTGTCTTAGCTACTCTATGGCAGTATCCTCAAGAAATAAGAGCCTGAGGGTGGCAGTTTCATGTGTATTAAATCATGTATGTAGCAGAATCGTGCCAATAGGTCATAAGTACAATTGTGGAGACATTCAGCTGCTTTGACTGTGAGACCAAGTTTAGCCTGGTGCATCTGTTAGCAACAGCAGTTGTACTTACACCACAACTGTTCTATAATTGTGTGGTAGGAAATAACTCTGTCTTGAGAAAAAAAGGCATAAAGACACAACATACTTGGCTTAGTGTTCTACTCCTCTAAAGGAGCTATCAAACTGGTTTGGTAATTCTTGAGACAAGGTGGAATTCAGTTGAACATTCAGACTCCTCATTTTAGCCAATGAAGCCTAAGGTAAAGATAACTATGAGCAAACATCAACAGCTGATAAGTTTTTAGTAACTTTTAGGTTATCCTTGAAATGATGAGGCCCTGGTGCTGATTCAGTTAAGGTTTGGATACATCAGGTACCTGGGAACTTGCATGTCTTTCTCCACTTACTGCACCAATGATGAATTTCTCTGTAGTCATTGCTATTGTTATCAACACATTTCTGCCTGCCTTAGGCTTTTCAAACAGCTGGAACAAGACTATGTTTGTGCATACATGCAACACTCCCTGCCCTTGCACAGTTTAATTCCTAGTCATAGAGTCATGGAATAGTTTGGGTTGAAGGAGACCTTTAAAGGTCATCTGTTCCAACCCCTCTCAAAGTGAGCAGGGACATCTTCCGCTGCTTGGCTTAGCTCAGAGTCCTGTACGCTGACATTGATTGTTTCCAGGGATGGAGATCTACCACCTCCCTGGGAACCTCTTCGGTGTCTTACTGCTCAAATTAAACAAAATTTCTTCCTTATATCTGGTTTGAATCTATCTATTTTTAATTAAAACTCCTTTCTCTCAGCCTTTCCTAAGAGGAGATGTACTCCATTCTTCTGACCAGTTTTGTGGCTCTCTTTTGGGGCCGGTTCTGGGGGTCTGTCCAACCCCTGGCCACCGCCTACTTCCCAGATAGGGGCCCCACAAGGAACGCCTGTCCAGGGGTCTCAGGCAGTTTCCAGCCAGGGGTAACCCATATGAGCTCAGCCTGAGGATTCAAGTGATCAGCCCTTTTAGACGTGATTTCAGCTCTTGTAGTGATCAGCTCAGATCAGCCTGGCCAGCTCCATTCATGGGTTACCCCTGACATGTGGATGAGAGACAGGAGGCCGTGTAGCGTTCCACAGAGTCCTTTATGGGCAGGTTTCAGTGAAGGGGGCCAGTGATGACACATCCACTGAACTGGGCAAAAGCCAGGGTTTTTATAGGGAAGGGGAGAACTGGGAAAAGGACCAAAGGTTTAAGACTGGAGTAAAATGAAAATAGTTCACAAGGAGATAACATAGGGTCCCAAAGCAGGAAGGGGTCCACAGCTTAGTCACCATGACTAAGTAGTTTTGTTTTATCTTGGGGAACAGACCTCCAAGGTGGAAGCCTTTCAGAGGACTGGCCTCCCTCCTCTGACCTCTTAATGGCCACCCTTTGTACATTAAGGTCATCCACAGCTCTCCTCTGGACCTGGTCCAAAAGGTCCATATCTTCTAATGTAACACCTTCTGTGCTAGGAAATGCCAAGACCTAGACAGAACATGGCCAGGACTCTTCAACACACCTGAGACATGATAAAGGAGTAGATCAGAATCCAGGAGAGATGGAAAAAGGATTTTTTTTAAACCACTTTCACCCTGCATCTCCTCCTGCTTTCCCCCTCCACCCCAAAAATCAGGCTGGTTTGTGCAATACTTCTCTAATATAATGCAAACCATTTCTCAGGGTCACCTTGCAAATTACAGGCACCTTGGTTTGCAAGAGATGCATCAACTGTTGAGCAATGCAGCAATAATGTCTGGACAAATTTAAACAGTTTTTGGATTAATAAACCCAGCTAATCCTGAACCAGATGCAATTAAAGAGGAATGCAGTCGACTACTGACTTCCTATGAAGTAAAATTGTTCACTCACTTTATTTTGACAGTTCCTCAGTTCCATCCACACCCAAAGTAATTTATACTTCTGCATCAGCTTATCATTGTTGCGTTGCTTCTCCTCTATCCTTCTGTTTACTCTTAATGTCATTCATATTTTTATGTGATTCCTTAAGTTTTACTTTTATTGGATCATACATACAAAGCCCAGGCACCAAGGAAAAGCAGTTCAATAATAGCTTCCACTATGCAGGCAAGTTATAAAGGGATATGAATCCACCACCCTTTGTACATTAAGGTCATCCACTGCTCTTAAGTTTGTGGGTTTTCTCCCCCTACAAAGGCAGCAGTTTTATTTCTGATATTTTGGAAGAGACATAAATGCAGCTTCCTGCTGGGATTCTTCTTGTGGATTGTCCATCACTTCATTTGGAAAGGGGAATATGTGCACTATGACATGGAGCTCAAGAGCAACTTGAGTAACTCCTTTTGCCTATACCATTTTCCCAGCACTTTAAACTACAATCTGCACTTCAGTAAACCAGTGCCAAAATACCCTTGTAACCTTTCTTAGCACTGATGTACCTGATTTTTACCCCTTTAACCCATTTTGTGAAAAGGCAATTGCATTGTTATGAGCACTGCAACCTCCACAAAAGAGAAGTGCTATGGTGTTCAAATCCTTGTTAGCCATCTTTATAAACACCAGAACTACAGCAGTCTCAATGTCTTTTTATGTTACTGTAGCAGTTCAGCAGGAAAAAATGTATTTTGGAAGGAGACACAAATGTTTCTTTTGGACAAAAGAAGCCAAAGATCTGATCCAGTTTTACTGTCTTTTAGATTATATACAAATACCAATTTGGTGGCTATTTTTACCTCAGCTCTATTGATAACATCTTTTCATCTGCTTCCAGTTTGGTTATATGCATTTAGATTTTTACTTTAATATGAACAGTTACTACCTTAATCTTTGGGCTAATTTCAGCCAGTTCCTGAAAAAGCTCTTAACACTGATTTAATTAAAACACAACAGTGGTGTGTCAGATCTGTGAGATTTATATAAGTAAACTTAAATGATACAATCCTGAGCAGGTGTAGAACTGTGATTTTCCTAAAGAAGCAAAGTTAAATTACACAGATTAAGAAAAATTAAATTATTCAAACATCAGCAATTCATTTTCATATCTCAAATATTTCATATCTGAGCATTTCAGGGAACATCACTCAACATTCTAAGGATAGGTCCATACAGCAATGTGTACTGAGTATGTACTGATGGAACAAGTACAAAATATGCTGGTTGACTTGTTCATCCGATGTTCTCTGAACAAATGTGCCTTTCCTTTGCTATTACCAGTTAAAGACTGCCCCCAAAAAATGTCACTTAACATTTTTTGGTGTTAACAACTGGTAGGCTAAGTACACCTTCAATGACGGATGTTGATGGCACCCAGTGTTACACCCCACAGCACATGCAGCCTGAGATGTTTGTAGCCACTTCCAGAACTCACATCTCTAGGACTTCATCAAAGCAGCATACTTCTTGCATTTCATCTGCTTTGAATTTCTCTAGGGCAGCAGTCAAAGACATTGAGAATATGTCTTTTTTTTTTGCCTTCACTGACTGTGTAAGATCAGATGAGAGCCTGCTCACTGATGCCTGACACCGGAGTGAAAACTTCAAAATTAGTAGAATTCTACAATTGATTTCACTAAGATCATGGCCTCACCCTTTCTGTTTCCCAGTATAACTCCAGAAGTAGGA